AGCTGTGTTGCTGGGGAAGATGTTAGTCCCTGGCGGCCCTAGCGCCTCTGCCTCAGCCTCCCGCTCGTGTTGCCGCCGCAGCTGCTCCGTTGGCGGGAGGGATGAAAGCTGGTGGGCTTTTAAGCTCTTCCCGGTCTCTCCGGCCGTGCTCCAGCCACAGCTGCATTGCTGGGGAAGATTTTAGTCCCTGGCAGCCCTAGCGCCTCCGCCTCGGCCTCCCGCTCGCGTCGCCGCCGCAGCTGCTCCATTGACGGGAGGGATGAAAGCCAGCGGGCTTTTAAGCTCTTCCCGGTCTCTCCGGCCACACTCTAGCCACAGCTGTGTTGCTGGGGAAGATGTTAGACCCTCTGGGTCTGAGAAGTATCAGACCAACTGCCCTTCACTGGTATCCTGGCTTTCCATTGCCTAGTACAGGGGTAGGCAACCTTTCCCCTTTAAGGGCCGAGGGACTTCAGCTCCCAGAAGCCTCAGCCATGTTGGCCAATAGCTCCTGGGATTCTGGGAACTGAAGTCCCTCGGCCCTTAAAGGGGAAAGGTTGTTATAGCATTCTTTCCACCAAAGAGTGGAACAGTAAACATGTATTGTCAGAGACAATGGGGTGAAACACCACCCTGAATGAGTGGATCTGTGCCGCCCCCTTCACGCTGCTGCCCTGATCCAGCATTTTCCTGGCTGCTCCTTTTTAGGCCAGAAAGAAGTGTACATTTTGCTGCTACTGTGGCTTTTCTGCAGTCCTGCAGCATGGTGTGTGTAAACAGAGTTCTAGGGAACCTACAGCATGCAGTCGCCATGCCACCACTCCACCCCAATGCTGGCCCTTTTGACCAGTCTGTTCAGCCCCAAAGAGAATACAACATAACACTACAAACATGCATGCAATCTTCAACCAGTCTGCCTGCTTTTTTAGCAGATAGAAGGAGGGAGAAGGAAGGAAGGACAAATCACTGTCAAGATTGCCTGGAACTGCAGGAGAGGAAAAGGTACTAGGCCAGGGGTAGGCAACCTTTCCCCTTTAAGGGCCGAGGGACTTCAGTTCCCTGAATCCCAGGAGCTATTGGCCAACATGGGACTATTGGCCAACATGGCTGAGGCTTCTGGGAGCTGAAGTCCCTCGGCCCTTAAAGGGGAAAGGTTGCCTACCCCTGTACTAGGCAGTGGAAAGCCAGGATGCCAGTGAAGGGCCGTTGGTCTGATACTTCTCAGACTAGGCTGTAGGTCCCCTAGAGCTCTGTGGATCCTTTACTGAGATCCACAGAGTCTAGATCTATGGAAAGGACTGAATATGATTATTGTCCCCTTTCAGTGTAGTGTACTGATTTGAGAGTTGGCTTAAGACTGGGAGACTGGGATTCAAATTCCCACTCAGCCATGGAAACCCACTTGGGCCATGTTTGAATGGGTCAGAATGCTCTGGGAGCAGCCTGGAGTATTCTGTCTATGAAACTGCCCTGGTTTCCCTTTGTTAAATGGGCACTCAGAGCAGCACTGTACTGCCTGCTGTCACCTGCACATGTTGCACCCTCTGGGGCTGAAAATGAGGCACCCAGCATCCATCATATGTCTGGGCCCCTTGTTCTGATCTCTGTGTTGCCTGGTGACTCTGAGCTGCAGCTCTGAGCTGCCTCATAAGGTTCCAGCTCTTCTGGGAGATCCAGAACAAAAGATGAGGTTTTAAAAATCCATTATAAGGGTGGTATGTCATGGTTTTGGTGCTCAACTAGCAATACATCATTCGGACCACAGTTCTGGTCCAAACTGGCCATACATATGTTTGGACCAGAATAGTTGATTGGACTCTGCATTGTCCCAAATAGTTGCCATGAGGACAAGGTTAGGATGTGGTATTTGGGCCATGTGGACATGGAGAGGGTGTCCTTGGGTAAGTTACACTGTCTCTTGAAGGCAATGACAAATCCTCTCTTAATAAATCTTGCCAAAAAAGCCCACCTCAAAAAAAAAAAAAAGATGAAAGGGTTGCCATAAGTCAGAAATAACTTCAAGGCATAAAACAAGAACCACCCTTCCTCCAAGCCTTGTCTAAAATGTATGGAGCCATCATGGGATGTCCTGTACCCAAGACTTTTACTTCTTGAACAGAATAGGCAAAAGTCCACTCAAATACCCAAAGTCCCTTTCAATATGCTTCAAATGATTTTTTAAAAAATGTTAGTCCACACCCATGAAAAGAAAGAAAAGTTGTAATTCAGGGGTGGGCAGTTTCTGGCCTATGGCCAAATTTCAAGAAACATCAAAATACAATTACCGGTAGTTCACGTTTCTGGTCAGAGCAATTGTCAGCTTTGAGTAGGTTGCTAGGTCAGGGAAAGGGAGAAGTGGGTGTGTGAGTGTGAGAGAAAAGTGATGGATATAGGGGAAAGGATGGCCTTGCTCACTTGTTGCAATGAGAATATACATTGGAACCTATGAAGATTATCACATTATGTTATAAACCGACTTACCTGAGCCAGCTTAAAATTAGAAGTGGGCAGCATCATGATAATATCAGGTGCATTTAGCCACCAAAATCACTGCCCATCTGCAGCCTGGCTCCATCGCTGCTCAGATGGGCGGTCTGGCTGCCATTTTTTCAAGCCGGAAAACCCCCGTCTTTGAAAAGAGGCGTGAGGAGTGCACCTTGGAGCAGCGATGGAGCTGGGCTGCAGCTGGGCAGCAATTTTGGTGGCTAAATGTATCTGATACTATCAGGATGCCACCCACTTCTAATTTTAATCCGGCTCTGGTAAACTGGTTTATAATGTATTGTGATAGTCTCCTATGTGAGGTATTGATTGTAACACTGAACAGCTACTGGACTAGAGTAGATTTGAATTTCTACTCAGCCATGAAGCTCCTTGGGCTATATTGGTTAAGCACACATGCTCAGCCTAAACTAACCTGGGGTGGTTAGATACATGATGCCCTGACCTCATTAGAGAGAGAGAGAAAAAAAAAGATTCAAATGAAATAATAGCTGCTTCAACTGTCTGGTTAGGTACATGATGAAGTTTGTAGTATCTGTATCATGAATATTTTATTATAATAAAGAATAAGTGTGCAAATACCTAGCAGAAATCACCAAGTACAGCAATTTTTGTTTTTTAAACAAGTACTTTGAATGTTAGCCAAGTTAGCATTACAAGAATTACAGTCATGAATTCTGTAGCATATATACTCCTGGGTTAATTAATGAGAACCATAAATGCAAAGTGGTGTTTTTTAAAAAATCAGAAACTTTATTAAAATGTAAATTTCAATTTTTAATCAAATTAGAGATTTCTTTTCATTTTCTAGTTTCATAAAAATTATATAATTTGCTCCCCTTAAAATAGTCCCAACTATTAACAAATTTAGTAGCAAGCACTCAAAGAGGATGTTAAAAAGCACTTCAAATAACATGACAATCTCATCTTTACAGTAATACCAGGTTGTTAATTAGCTGAGCTACCCAAATACTGAGATTATAGTTAAAATGGCTCTGAGTAGGAGGTGATAATGATGCGCTGCCTGTTTTACAACACATTATATGCAGTGCACATTAATTCCAGTTTTAAAAAAATCCATCATTATTAAAAAGCTCCCATTTTAAAGGGTGAAATCACTCTGAGAGAAGCTTACCTTATTAACCATGTCTATAATAGATACTGCTATATCTGGCAATGGGAAGATACGTCAAAGTGTGTTTAAGGAAGAAGTTGGCTCTTTAATCAGCTGCAAGACAGAAACACCAGTGCAAATTAAAAAAAAAGATGATGAATAATTTTAAAAATGTTGCTTTTGGAAAATGAAATAGTTTTAATCCTGTGCTACAAAAATTTAAAATGATACACATGGGAATTGTCTTCCATTAATGCAGTTTTCTTGCAGCTTCATGCCAGTATGTCTATGGGGAACGATTTATCTGAAGTGGGGAAAACTGCACAATTTACAAGTGTAAATAGATAGACTGCCAGTACACTTTTAAAAAGATGAGCTTTGCCTAAAATATGTTATTTTGTTTTTAAATAAGATAATTTTGCAACTTTTTGCAGTCCTATCGTTGTCACTGCATTTCTCTCTTGCTGTGAACCACCAAGACAATGATACCTTGCAATTTTGAAGGACCACTCTTTCCCCCCTCGATCCCATCCCACAGCTAACCCCTTGCAGCTTGGTCCCCTGATATACCATGGAGTGAATTGGGGATGAAGGTACTAGGAAGCGAACGTTAGTGAGGTCAGCCCCCAACAGCACACATGCTTAAATGGGGATCAAACCCAGAGTGTTGAATCATTGCTTTGGATCACAGAATGCTCCTAAATAAATTTCAAATCTAGAAGCTTCTTGGGAAAGAAAATTTCTTCAGCATTGGTACTAATGATTTAATACTACATGCTGAATATTTTCTTTACAGCAAAATTTGCTTTTGCATAACTTCCCACTCTCCCACAGCATGTGTATTATTTTAGCATGTGCATTATTCCTTAATTGTATCAAGCTCTTCTGGTAGCTATACGGATTACATTGCATGCTTAAGCATAGATGAGAATATTAACTTCTGCCAAACTGATCAACAATGACTACTTAATTAGCTGGAGGTTGTCATCCTATGATCAGAATGTCTCTGCTTGAATGCCCCTAGATGGTCTGATCTATATTATACAAACCCCGTCAACTGCTTGATGTTATCTCAGCATGTTTTTAAAAACCTTATCCTCTGAATTATTGATCAAGCAACAAATATACCATTGTTATACATGCATATTGGGAAAGTAAATCTAATACAAATTGCACAGAAATCATACTGAGATGGAAAATAGCTTTGGTCTAAATCCAACATGACTCATTGGGCTTTTCATCCCCTCCCCTTGCTGTCCTCTCCAATACTTAAAATCTGTCTTAGAGAATTTTCCAAACTACCAGGACAGGTTTTTGCTTGCTTGTTTGTTTCTTTGCAATTTTTTTAACGGACATTTTGGGGAGGTTGTGTGGCTTAGTGGTTTGAGTGTTGGACTATGACTCTGGAGACCAGGGTTCGATTCCCAGCTCAGCCATGCAAACCATTGGGCATGTCACATGCTCAGGGGAAGGTAATGGCAGATCTCCACTGAACAAATCTTGCCACGCAAACTCCATGATAGGTTGACCTTCGGATCGCCGTAAGTTGGAAAATGACTTGAAGGCACACAATAACAATAAATAGGAAGGAGGAGATTGACTCCCCTGCTTTGTAGACTAAGAAGCTATTTCTGTGAGAACATTGACAGCATTGGATGCTGGACATTTCAGTCAGTGTGAATGTTCTCTGAGATTAGTTAAATTATGAAAAAATGTCAGGAACTTAGTTCTAATTTAAATGTCAAATTCATCAGTGTATGTGTTTAAGACTGTACGTACCCCAAACCATTAAGATCATCATGTGAAGACTTTTTCTTGGTCCTGCCATCATCACAAGCTCACTTGGGCCTTAGTGTATATGCATGTTTTACCCTAGGTTCCCCTTGGGCTTGCTGCATCATGCTTACATGACACAGGCCCCAAATCCTGAATTGGGTCTTGATGGTCTTCGTGATTTTGCACACAATTTGGGGCTTCCTCCCCACAATTAAATTTTAAAAATCCACCTTTTATTGCATGTTTTTTTTTGGGGGGGGTTAGTGATGATGGATGACTGCCTTTTCACTTGTAGTCCCCATTCATTGGCTGGCCCCAGTGCTTCAAGTGCAAATCACTTTGAGGTCAGAACAAGGAACCCAGTCTTGATAGCATGGCTGGGTGCCTTGTTTTGATCTCAGCAGTGATGCTGGGTGATAATGGGGGACACATGGGAAAGTAGCCCCCCATCATCACTGGGGGAAGAGAGCAAGGTAAAGGGAAAATTTGGGGGGGATTCAGGGGCCAGAATACTCTGGTAGATGAGCCCTTGGTAAAGACGCAAGAGAGAACCTTCTCAGTGGCTGCTCCCAACCTCTGAAATGTCCTTCCATGGGAAGCTAGGCTGGCCCCCTCTGTTTTCATTTCTCCAGCAGGCAAAGACATTTTTGTTTAAGCAGGCTTTTAATATGTAATCCCTCTCAGGGAGGTGTCTTATTGGAGTTTGTGCTGTATTTATTTATATTTTTAACATAATGTTATCCTGTTCCAATAAATCATTTTAATTGTATTTATTTATTTATTTATTTATTTATTTATTTATTTATTTATGTTCTATTCTGCTTTTCTCCCAGAAAGGGACCCAAGGCGGCTCATAAATAAAAACACATTAAGAACTTATTACAAACATTAAAACCACAAAAAAGCATGATACCCACCCCCATATAATAAACACCCCATATAAAAAGTCATCTCATCCTGCATGAATTAAACTGTTTTTGCTTGCTGATGGAAGGAAAGCAGGGGGGCAGACTTGCTTCTCATGGAAGGGCATTCCAAAGGGCAGGAGCAGCGACTGAGAAGGCTCTGTCTCGTGTCCTCACCAGTGAGCCTGGGATGGTAGTGGGACAGAGAGAAAGCCTTCTCCTGAAGATCTTAGGGCTCTAGCTGGTTCATATGGGGAGATACAGTCTCTCAAATAGTCTGGACCTAAGCCATGTAGTGTTTTATAGGTCATGACCAGCGCTTTGAATTGTGTCTGGAAATGAATGGGTAGCCAGTGATTAATTAATTCAATTGTATTTTAAAATTGTGTTGGTAAGGTTTTAAAGAATTTTATCTGTGAACTGCATTGTGTCCCACTCCATGAGAAAGGCAGAATATTAAATAAATAAATAAATAAATAAATAA